TATATAACTGTCGAGCTTTTAATAGATTCTTAATACATCATTAAATCATTATATAAACAACAATGTGAGTTGAGTTACATTTTTCACAGCTTTAAGGAATTTAAAATCTGGTAAGATTTCGAATTACATACACGTTCACAGGAGATCAAGGCTGTGCCATTTTACACATTTCGAAGATAAAACCGTAGATAAACAACCTCCCGGTAGCGTTCTTATCCTTATGGAACAGTTGAAGCCAATAATTTTATTATTAGTTCTGTCCGGTGCACTAGAGGGCGACGTGTTTTGTTTACAATTTGTTTCTTGTTATTTCAGTCATTTAAAACCTCGTTTAACCAAATAATACCCCCGCTGCAGCAAACCTGCCGTCTAAGCGAATTTCCATTTGGCTGAATTGATTTTCAATTGATCTATTCAAATAACATTAGGTTTAACGAGTACATAGGTTTGCTGCTACAAGGAAACTAATAAAGTACGTGTTTTAAATAAAATAAGTATTGCTTAGTATAAAATGAATATATTTGCCAAGTTTGATCAAAATATATCCATAAACAAGCAAACTACAACATTTTACAATATTCTCCATAAGAATAACATGGGAATTTTAAATTTACCATTTTTTTAGTTTTCACCGTAACCAATAACTGTACAAAAACACTTTGATATACTGAATTGTTTGTTTTTTAAAGCTTTTTAAGAAGGTTTAGAGAAAAATTGGGAAATTTTGTGTATTGAGGGTCAAAAGTGAGAAAAACCAATTTTTACCCCATAAAACCCCCCATAAAACCCTGTTCCCATGATCCGATCATGCTGGATCGCGAACTCATTCAAGTTTATCCCGCCTTACACCTTCAAACCAAATTTCATCAAAATCGGATAAAAATTACTCAAGTTATCGTGTTCACGGACACATATATATATATATATAAATCTATATATATATCTATATATATATATACATATATAAAAATTTGAACGAATGGTGTTTTTGGCCTCTGGGGACACCAAAATGAAAAAGTAAATCGGTCCCGGGCCTAAGTCTTACCATGAGACCTACGATAATAGCTACTTCCCTATAGGGAAATTCGCTAAAATGATCTAATCGTAATCAATAAGGTCATCTATATAGTTATATAACCAAACGGTAAAGCACAGATCATGAAATTTGCCCAAAAATAATAGAAACTAAATTTCGTCGACACTAACGCCTAGTGTTACCGGACTAGAATTAGACACGAAAAACGAGCTTCAAAATTTACAATAGTATGGGAAGTCTACTTGTGTTGGTAAGTCTATGATAAAACCAGGCAGATGCAGATGTTAGAGAATGTGTAGGAAATGAACAACGTATGTCCGATTAATTCAATCCACGTCTAAAAAATGTAAAGCTATTACGCAATTAGTAAACTACACAACAATGGTCTGATTTTCATAACTGTTGGTAAAATGTATTCTATTCAGTAAAATTTACCGAATTTTTTAAAATATCTTTGAACTATTTTTACCAAAGTCTACCCAAGTCGTGCTTGCAATAATTCAAAAGTACAAACAAAATTGTTCTTCTTCAAACAAAAGTCGAACCATGCTTGCTACAATTGTAAAGGGTAGTGGTTTGACTTGTGAAATAGCGGTAGAATCTGAGGTAATTACAATAACAAAAGACTTTGCCAATGCATCTGGGACAGGAAATTACCTCGACCCAACCTGACCCTGAAGCCTTCTCTACTCAATGCGAAGCAGACGTCGAAACCAAATAAACATATACTAACAATATCGACAGAATAAATCTATTCCCGATCTAACAACGGATTTGCATACCATTACGATAGAAGAGGATAAAACGAGGACGATTTACATAAACGGGAAGAGCGGCGTTTAACGTTTGCTCTTTCATAGGGAAACGTTAAAGTAGACGTGGTTTATAGCTGTTTTCAGCCTGTTGCTAAAAGAGTGTCTATGCAGTAAATTGTAGCTCAGACCACCGACATAGAATAGTAGTAAAAATATTCTTTGCATTTGCTAACGAAAAAATAAAATAGAATAGGTAAAAGTAAAATAATGTTGAGGGAGAGTTTATAATTAGAAGAGATTTGAGTGGAATTAAGAAGGGTAATATTATTCAAAACAAGTAAATGCGCACTTTGTAAGAGTAACGATGTCATTGGGAAAATACCTATAATGAATTTACACGGAACCATATACCATTATAGTGAGATACGTACTTCGGGTTTGCGTCATTGTATTTATTTTTACAAACCCTTAAAAATGAGGGGTTACTCAATAGGGGTTTCTATTTGAAAAATAAAAGTCACCTGCCCACAACCCTATTAGAGGGGTTAAAAAATATTGTTATTGTAAAAGATTGCGGAACCTTTGCTAACAATCAATGCCACAATCAGAATATTTCTATCTATTTCAGTTTTAAATAAAGATTTGTTTACATACTTAATTTAAACACTGTATATTCCCAACAATCTTATATCCTTTGAATACAGCCCAGAGTTTAGTATCTTATTTCCCAAATACCTCTGGTATTAGGCCTACATATTATTGGAAAGAACAAGTATTGGATTGTGTTTTTGGTCAGTTGGATTAAAATTACTCTTTATTTGTAAAATATTTTAGTTTGGTTTTTTAGATTTTTTGGGAGAAAGCTCAATCAAAAATCATGAATTTGATTGTATCTAGGATATTATATTTATTTTAACGCTGCGGAGCAGCATGGGAGTCCTCTAGTATAAATTAAACGCCTTTTTTGTTAAATTGACACAGATTTTTTAAATAATTTATTTTGATATATGTTTTGATAAACTAAATGGTTTGAACGACTAAGACAGTAAGGGATCACCCAATGACATAAATGGCTTCATAGCGTGGCCTTTCTCGGTAATAATAAAAAGGGGATTATGCTCGAATTCGAGCATACTACTTCGTAGATGTTACTTAAAATGCTTATGCAAAAACCCGTGAAAACCATGTAATATAGTTTTAGACTCTTAGAATTCGTAACCTAATCATCTTATAAATACGTAACAAAATGTCTTTAATGCGCTAAGGAAGTTTACACTTCTTAAAAAGAAGAGTTCATGGTAAAATTATTGTTCTCAGCTATTTCTACGTGTAATATGTCAGTTCATCACATAAGTATGTTTCAAGTATGCAAATAGACAAGTTCTTAAAGACCACTTTAGATTTTTATGGCTAGAGATGAGCAGTCTTGCCATAAACCGTGTCAATTTACTGCAGACCTATGACTGGACTATCGCGAGAGGTCAAAGTGCAATTGTAAGTCTCCTAATGTTGCTAGGTTTAGAATTATGATTTGGGCTCTTAAATATGGTTGAACTGTTTTATAAATAACGTATCCTGATCTTTTTTTCAACTATTTTGGTAAATTAACTATGTTTGGATACTGTACTTGATAAATTTCTAAACATGAAATATACTTTCAGTAAACCTGTTACAGCGTACAGCTTTAAAGATAACATACAGAAATATATTTCTAGATATGCCGCAGACATTTTTGATTCAAAATCGGTTTGTGGTTTGAATAAATAATTGTGAAACTTCAAGAAAATAAAAGATAAAGAATCAATATCCGAGTTGGGAGAGATTTAAAGTAATCAAGGCTAGACATAAGTACTGTATTTGCTAAATTGAACTAAACTACGTTTGGTAAACTTTCAGTCACAGCTTAATGAATCTTCTTTGTACGCAAACTAATCCGGCCATAAACAATTACTTCGTCGTTTTCAGATTCAATTACGTAAACTCTAAATGCCCTTAACGTATTGCATAAACAAACTTTTCACTTGTTTTCGAAGATTTTCTGCGAAAAGTTTATACCAAAGTTAATACAATTTGTCTTCCAAGCCAAATATTATATAATCACACTCATGCGCACGCAGACATCGATGTTACCTGTTAATGACCAGTGTGACTGGTGAAATTCTATCGCCACTGTGAAGTTATTCGCATGTATTTAACGTTTTGTAAATCGATTTGTATTTACACGCTCCGACATTATCCAATTGTTTCTTATATTTTGCAGCACAAGAAACAACAATTGGATTTCACAGATGCAGATATTAAAGCCAAAGCTAATTCAACCTAAACCGGTACGGAGGTTGCGATCAAAAACGGCCATTAACAGTATAACTGCAACTTTATCGAATAGTGTTTAAAGACAAGTAATAAGTTAGTTTTTTTTTTCCTAGGACGCTAGGCACGAGCCCGGAATTGCTGTTCACATTACTTCAGGCTAGACCTAGGGGTTAAGGCAATATCACTTAGATAAAATTCATTGGTGATTTTGCGGGTTTTGAACCCGGGACCCCAGGAACCGGAGTCCCACGCTCTAACCACGAGTAATAAGTGCTAACAGTATAACTGCCACTTTATCGAATAGTGCTTGAAGAGGTATAAACTTCTAACAGTAGGCCTATAACTGCCACTTTATCAAAAAGTGTTTGAAGACGTGTAACAAGTGCTAACTGCAACTACGCTGAGACGTATAATAAGTATTCTAGCTGTTTGTAGTACTCGAAATACGTAGATCTGTTAAGTAGTGAACGAGAGTATCGCGTAACCGCTGTGGTGCTGGTAGTGGAGATAGGAGACGAGGGGAGTCAGAGTCAGCTGTGGCGGTGGCTGTGGCAGGTGGAGGAATGTGGGACATCGCAGTATAGTCGTCCGTCGCCCCAGACCTTGCTCAGTCGCTCTCTCAGTGTCAAGGATGTTGCAGCAACGGAGTGCAGTGTCCCAGGCCAGACCTACAGTAAGTGGATACACTACCCGTCGGAGTATACATCTAGTGCATAGCGAATAACACAGTGTTGTATAGTATCTACAAAAGTGTCACCGTAATCACGCAGTGAATATCGTCGAAGTGAATTTAAGTAATTATATTACGGAGTGAAATATATTAACACAACAGTGAGTTTGTAATCGACGATTCGAGGGGTGGAATACGCCTTCAGTGCAACAGTGCGTTAGAGTCTCCGCGAAAATATCTCAGAAACCGCTTTGATAGCGTTCGTGTGCGATAGTTTTTTTAAGTAATATGTGTATTCCCTATGTCTCTTGTCAGGTGTGTAAAGTTGATGATTGTAATTGTCACAACATAGAACAAGTATTTAACATAGAACAACATAGAACAATACACTAATTTAAATTCAGTTAAATACAAATGAATTTTACCGGTGAATAAAAGTACTAACCATGTGCGGGAATAAACGGACCAATAAGGAATAACATTACACTGAATTAACATAACATAATTTATGTTTATGTGCGTTGGGTCAAGTTGCTTATTAAACGGTTAAGCATTTTGTGTACGTTACGTATTTCATGAATTTTCAATGAAAAAAAACAAAAAGCAAAAGCAAAAAATATTTTTACAAATTTAATTCTGATTTAAAAATTTGTATGGTCAACTAAATTAAACAACAGTTAAATAACTAAATTTGTTAATGCGGTTAAATTTACATTAGTATTTAGCTAAAATATGTATTCGAAGAAGTTACATGATATGCCGTGAACTGATTTAAACAAATGAAAGAGTTTTATTTTTTTATCAAGAGTGAAAAAGTAAGGTATTCACAGAAAAAGGACTGGAAACACAGTTTATAACCAAAATATACGACTAAAATATTGATAACTACTCTTTTAGCATTAAATTGTATACTGTAACAATTTTCAAAAAACTCCTTTTTATAGTGAGAAAGTTTCATATTTTAACAATATGTTTCCCAAAATGTTAAGTGCAAACTTAACACTTGAATTTGATTGTATTATAAAAGCAAAAATAGCATAATAAGTAATGTGTTGAATATAAGAGGAATATCTTGATAGTTAGGTTATGTAATTGATCAAAATTAAAAACAAATGGTAAAGCATTTTGGTAAATACTCGGTAAATAGTTCTTTTATATTTAATTTTCAATAGTCAGCAGGGTACAAAGCAATGTGTCATTATTAATAAGTTAAAATAAATACAACCATTTGTAAAAACTACATAAGTCTGCTTCACATTTACAGACGATTGTAAAATAGACATTTTAATCCAATTATTAATCAAGATAATAAGAATGAATGACGAATGATCCCTTTATTAAAATATACACAAAGCTTTTAAAGCAATCTAACTTAGCCACTAGAATAAATGTTTTAAGAAAAATATTGAACGAAAGTTCATTTTCACTTGTTCACACATTTCACATGTTATCACACAACATAACCGATAAGCCTCTCATAATATTAGTGTATTGATATTGTAATTTTCCTTTTATATTTGTATGCAGTACTATATGAATTCTTATACCGGTATGACAATAGTTCGGGACATAATATATTTTTTACAATAAATTGTTTTCAAATGGTATTATCACAAATTCGGGGTAAAAGAAAGAAGGACTTTACAGCAAAAACACTTTCGGTTGCTCAATTTAGCAAATAAATTTCCACAAGGATATTTTTTATTATAACTGACAATTTTGCCATAGGGATAAAACGTCAAAGTCGTGGTAGTGTATTTATAATCCAAAGGACAATCTAATTACTATCACATATATCAAACAGCTTAATCAAACAAATATTCTCCGATATACCGGTTAAGACATCTTTAATCTGGTTTGAATTAGACATGTGCAATAATTTCATGCAGAATTATCGTTTCTCGTATATCATCTTGAAACCGGTCAAGATTCTCTCATTTAAATTGACTCATCCAACTGAACAGAGCTACTTTCAGTCGTGCTTGCGACTTTCACAGGAAATGGATAAATTAATCTCAAATGTTGTTTGTGCATGAAATGATCCACCGTGCCACCCACAGTTGTATTTGCAGCCTTAACGATCTCAATTAAATTATTGAAGTGGACCATTACTACAAAACAATGTACGAGATTGAACCGCCGTGGAAAACTACAAATAACTAAACTGAAAGATTTATTATTTCATGTTATCAAATAACTGGGATTTTTAATCAATTCTCCAAGTTGACAGTTAGATGTAATACAACCCTAATGGAATTTCAGTTAGTAAAAAAAACAGTGTTGTAAAAGTTACAAGAACGTTATTTCCTACCATACTCAAAATGTCCGCCCAGTTACTATAGAAAAATATGGTCTCCTACTAGCCAGTAAAACGGAGTTCAGACAAAAATGGAAAACGGAACGGATGGTACACTACTATTATAAACTTTAATAATTTTTTGTTGTTTTTGCTAGGTGTGACAATGTTTGAAAATTATATATGTGACATAAGAAATGAAGAGTACAATGAACGGATGTTATGTGAATCCATTCAATTTTCAATGTATTTTGTTAGAGCGCCAATAAATAAATATATATATATATATATATACACATATTTCTCCTCAATAAGGGTCCTATCTTTGTTCTAGTATCATGGTCGAATCACGGCTAAACATATAATTTCCATTTATATTTAATATAATCACATGGAAAAAGGACGCGTCTCACGTCGTGTAGTGAGTGAAATTTAAATCCACACTGCCCACTGCCAAATTGAAATTCAGTATTCTAAAACCCACTTTTGTGAACGGACAAACCAAGAATACATTTAACGAATCAACTATTCTAATACTTTTAATCAAGGTCGGTTCGCCCACAAGTGCCCTTTTCGACATACTTGCGGTCTTTAATTGCATACCGCTTTGAACACAGCTCATTAGAGAACAGAGATATGTCATTAAAACATCGAGAGATGAGAACTACGGTGGGAATCCGAGTTTTGGTTGTCCACAATTAGTGTTCGCTTTGCTCGGCCCGCTTCCCCGGGCAATTATTACAACTGCAACTAACCGTGTGGGAAAGGAAGATGTCATCAACGGTCGCCGAAGAAGAGGCTGCGACAGTTCAACTTCAATAAGGAAAAGTTTATGAGAGTTACGCTTATATTGTGAGAGGTTAACAGAACTTGTAAAGGAAGGTTGTGGATGTTTATTTATTTGGGTGTCCAAAACTTGACTGACAGTTTTGAGAGTCTGACCTGCGCCACCAAGTAAAACCAGTAAAAACAGTAGCAGTGTATTTAAAATACCTAAAACGTTTGGGAGTGGGAAAGCGATCTAAGTCTCTCAAGCATTAATTTTTTTTTGTAACCGTTCTTTAATTAGAATTTAGGCCGATAGCTATTTATAAGGATTGCAGCTTGTCTAGGTTTTGTTGCAAAATGCAGTGGCAATTGAAAATCGTAACGGTACTCTCAGAAAGGTTTGTTTACGAAAACGTTACGTTTTTCAAAAATATATATATAGAATTACCCAATATTGTGTTTATTTCTTTATCACGTGTAAATAAGGCTTCCACTAGTTAACTGGCTAACAAGAATTAAAATTTGGCAGTACAGAAGAAAAGGGTTTCGAAGAGAAGGATGTTTAGTTTGTAAATGTCTAGAGAAGTCGTATATAACCCCCTGACTTCAGGTTGTTCGACGAAGTTCAAAATAATGAACGGCTCAGTGTACTTTTCGGGATTTGGAGACAATTTCCTTCCGTTCCTTCGTTTCCTGCTCAGTCCGATTTTCGATGGTCCGGTGTTGGGTGGTGATGGTCTGATGGTTTTGTCTTTGTCCGAGTTTTGGAGACGACACCGCATCAGACATAATCGTTTTCTTCTCGTTCCTTCGTCCTTGGCCCGATTTTTTATTGATCCGGTATGTGTATGATTTTGTTCGTGTTTGGTAACAATAACATAACAACAGAATTTGCCCCTAAAGACAACTAAGGATAGGGCTGGATTGGGGAATGGGTTTCCTTTGATGTCTTTGAGAGAAAAGTCGACAAAAACAATAGAACCCCCTTGTCTGTACTATCTTATTGATTATTAAGCTGGCGTTTACATACCTTCAGACGCAATTTTCTCTTTGTCTTGAAATTTTAACTCGTTATCGCATTTCGAAATGATGAATTAGCAGTGGAAACTACAACCCGAGCCAAGTCTAGACATCTGTTAAAGATATTGAAAGTACAGAAAAGTACCATAAGTTGTTTCTTTGGTTCCTGTGATACGAAATGAATCATTATATACCCATTCAGGAAAAACAGGTAGGCCTACAAAAAAAAAATACTGTGTAAAAATTACCCTGGCGCCGGGAAGCAAGTAAACAACTCCAGGTTAACAAGGTGCGCCTAGTTAGTAGCTTTGTTAGCATAATCATATAATTAATCATCGTTACATTTTATGTGGTTCCGGTGAGCAGAACTCTACTTGCGGCTCAACTAGCGAAAGTTATCGGTTCTCAACATCAGCATAACAAGTTAACTAAGATAACAACTAACAGCAACCAGTAATACTCGATAATTTCACCTCCGTTTTACAGCATATCAAACTAATTTACCTTAACTATCGTTGATGATCTGTATTAACACTATACACTGAGTTCCTGAGAATCCAGGTGGCGCCATTCGGCCCATACGGTTTCTGGTATTTGGTATCCCATCTACGGAATAGCTGCCAATACCAATAGTTAGAATCCACCAATTGAGGGAAACCGTTCTCCCATATTGAGAATTTGAGGCCGAACACTGAACCCAAGCACTTTGAAGGTAATAGAATGGCCATTCTGGATCTCAATGTGAAAAGGGTTCAGATAACTTTCTAGATAACAGTTGAGAGAGCAGAGAATTGTATGCGTGCAAATGTTTCTACTATGGAAAATAAGGCTCAGCTCAAACCTAAACCGTTATTTTACAATTATCGTGCACGCTTCGTTTGTATCGATCTTTGTACTTGTTTGAGAGGAAGAAAAATTGGTGATTATTTCAGACCACATGCGTATAGTTCAGAGTATTCGTATATAATACCGAAAAAGAATAATGTTATACTTGTTGAAGAAACACGAATAATCAAAAAAATATCATCAAAATAACACAAACTGGTTTATCTTACACTTTTTTTCCTTTAAAAAATATTTAAGTTTGGGAAAACATAGGTGTCAATATTTTTGCAGAATAAGTCAGCTTTTTGAGTAAAAAACTACACACTTACTAAAACTAAACAATACAATAGAGAATATAAGATACGAAACTAGATATTTCGCTGAGCTTCGCGTATAACCGTTTAGC